CTGAGTAAGAGCGATGCGTAACGGGCGTGCGCAGAAAGCGTGCGTTCGGTACGAGCGCTCGAGCAAGACTGACAATTCATTTTAATAATGACTTATACGAATTTGAAATTGATAAATTCAAAGGTTGATATTAATTTTTCCATTTAAAAAAATTTTTTTACGAGCAAATAAGAATATTTCGATGAACAAACACTATTTAAAGCAATCGATTCGATTATTTTTTTTTAACTGTAGTGAAAGATAAAATGTCAATAAAAAAAACTGATACAATATTTTTACTAAATAAAGCATTGATAAAAATGCACAAATAAAAACACAATGAATAATTAATGAGAATATAGAAGTACACATACAATAAAAAAAGTACAAATCATACGCTATTTCAGCTGATAGAAAAAAAACCCACAAAAATGTAAAGTTGATCAAAAACCAAATTGAAAAAATTTATACTATTGGGTGATAAAATTAAATCAGTGAAAGCAGCTTCTAAAGTTGATTTAAATAAAGGCAGAAAGAATCACTATTAAGGTCGATTAAAATTTATTTTACACATTATTATTGAAATCGATTAATCTGCTTGGATCAAAAATGCTGATTCAAATCGGTAGTCTTCAATGCTACTTGTTATTATTTAATTTGATTGAAAAAATGAGACTATCAAAAAGTTATTTCATAATTTTAGAAAATACGTTTCTTGGTTAACCTTTTTTTGCTTTGACTCTAGTATTACGAGGTTAAAATATCTAATGATCGTAATTCTTACAATATTAAAATATTTATTAAAAGAACGAAGATCATGTGAAAATGGTTAATGAATAGTGACCAAGATTACAAAGTAGCCTTTTGAAAAGAGCACTGGTCAATTGCCAATGTGACTTTGGGCTTTAAAGTTCTTTGAAATACTTTGAGCACTACCATCAAAGAGTCAGTCAGCATCCGTATTTAACTGGCATTAGCTTGTTACTTTTCTTATCTCTAAGCCTGTCAAAAAAAATGATATTAATATAAAAAAGATTTTTTTCAAACATTACATTCAATTAGCTTAGAATACTGGCTGAATCAAAACAAAAAAAGTTATATTAGTATCAGTTAAATACTTTCATCCTGCAGTTTGTATATATGCTAGGTATAAAGCATGAATGCTATAGGTAAGTACTACGGACAGCGCAATTAGTTACCAAACTGTTTTGGGAGATATAGACATTAAGCCACATAATGGCTCTGTCGGTAGCGTGTCTGCCTACAGATCTTGATGGCCGGAGTTCAAATCCTACTCTGGACAAAAATTTTCATTAATAAATGAGATTTTCTTCCGGAGGGAATTTGAGCTTCATTAAAACCTACCGATTTTCCTACCGTTTCACACCTACCGTTAATTAACCAACGTATGGCTAAATACACTTAATAGTGTCAAAATAGCCATGTCTGAGCCCCTTAGGGGTCGATTATGAATATAAAAAAAAAAAAAAAGATATAGACATTTCCCCAAAAAGGCATCTCCCTGTTAGGACTTATCCATAGCAACCAACTAAGAGTACTGTATCTATTTTGGTTGCTATGTACATTTTTTTCATTTATATTTTACAGTTTTCCTTTGCACATTGAGCTTCGATAAGCAGCATATGTAGTTATAGGAAAAAAATACAGAGAAGAAAAGAAAGAGAGAAAGAAAGCCGCTCTTAAGTCGAGGTTCTGTTCTGTTCTTTATGGATGGCCTTGGATATCGAGGTTTATGACACAACAAGAATCTTATTGCCAGTTAAGACATGAGGCACAAATAATGGCGCCAATTTATAAGTCGATTTGTCGCTCCATCTGGTGGTCATCAATGTTTTAAAAGTAGGTAATTTAGAGTACATTTTTTCGGCACTCTCAAGATAAATGCAATCGTGTACTTAATATCACGCACAGAGCATGGGGTGGTGTTAGGCATCACCTTCTCATATAACCTGTACGGCTTACCAACCCCCCCCCCCTTGTACAGTGCACTGTTATGTCAGTGCTTCGTATATGTGTTGTGGTTATTTATTATTCTATCTTTTGTCCTGTGTGCTGGTCTATTTAAAAAAAATAACCGTTACAGCTATTGGGGTTAGAATGCTGCTCAGTTTATAAACAGAGCATGTTTTATCAAAGTTTGATTGACGTATTTTGGCTTGATATGCCCCGTAGTTAAAAAATAAATGAAATTGATAAGTGAGCTCAAAGTTTAGATATCTTTATGCTACATTGAAAGAGTAATTTACGCTAAAAAAACCAAATCTTGTTCTTTACTTACTTACTCATACTCAATAAAATATAAAGTCGTTTCGTTCAATTTTTACGAATTTTTTCCAGCTGTTTTTCTGCGAATCCGGTGATTTATGCATTCCCTTATGTTTATGTAAGGGTTAGTTACACCTGCCTATTAGCTTACTTGTTTGCCTTTCCTGCCTTATTTTACACCCTTTGTAGAATTTTGTTGCAATTTTCCTCAGTACTGAGGTAAGTTCGTATAGTACAGATTTTTATACTTATTTTGTAAAGTACTTGGTAAGGGAAATCTATTCTGTACACCCTGCAGAGACTGATCTATTTTATTTCTGTCTTCTTTTTTAAAACAACAGAAATATATCAAGTAATCAAACATGGAGTCAGATATGTTTCATAAAGAAGCTTCAGGACTACCTGGGCAGGATTTTTTTTAAGTAGATCTTTATTCTTTACATAATCTTTCAGTGAGTGCTTACTTTCAAGATAAGCTAACATATAGCTTACCGTAAATTTTTTTAAATACTGATTATCAGTTAAGTATCTCCTTTTTTCAAATACTACATGGACAATTTATAGATGCTTTTTCGATCCATTTTAAAAATTTTTGTTTTATCAACTAAGAAAGAAAATTTATAGTCAACTTAACTATTTCCGGAGCTCAAAAATGTATTTCTTAGTTTTTGACAGTATTTTTTCACCACGACGAAGTTACATTTTGTAATTTTTACATTTTTTTGTCTTTTTTATTAAAGTGTTAAAGATATGGTTCATCTTTTCCTGGCTCTCCAAACAAATTTAGTATATCAATTTGGGTGCAAAGTTTTTGAAAATATTTCTGAAAGCTTAAACTTATGAAACGAGATACGTTTTTTTTATTGATTTAGAAATAAAATTAACTTAAATTTTTATTAATTTCCTTGCCTTTTAAAGTTGAAAGTAATTTTTTTTACTGCATTATATTATTACAAGAAAAATACGATTTTTTTTGTTTGTCGAATTAGCAATTGCTAATATTATAACACATAATTTAAAACTTCTGTTAAATTATCATGCATTTCTTAGTTTTTAAATATAATGGCTTGTACGTAAAATTTAATTTTTATACTTTGTGTACGGATACTTTTGAAAAAATTTTTTCTATATTTATAAATCTTGTAAAATTAAAAAAAAATCTATTATTTTAACCTAGACCTATATGTGTCAATAACTTTCACTTTAGTTATTGTGCGTGTTGCTAACAGTTAAAGAACAAGCTACACCCCTATGCTTATCCTTTATTTTTGATACGTTTTATTAAAAAATTTTTTCAGATAATCAGCTTTAATCACCTTCCATTCTTTATACAGAATATCCCCAAAAGCTCATTTGATTTACATAATAAAAAATCTTGCAAGCTACTTTATATCAATTTTCTATATATCTTTGCATTAAACTTATGCAACAAATAAATAGTTGCAAAAAACAATTTTGATACTTAGGAAAATTCTGTAATTTTCTTTACTCATACAATATATCATAACTATCTTTGCTGCTTTAAAACTACTTAAAAGGTCAAACGTACTTTTTTATTTATTGTATAGTATATATTAATGTTTTTCTAGCACACAAGCCTAATGCCACAGTGTGTAACTAAATTAAACGTTTACTCTGTTACACAAATTTTTTTTAATGTTCGAGTTATTCTTTAATTCAATATGTACGCACATTATTAACATAACAATATTCTTTTGCTTCTACTATAGAGAAACAATAATGGCTTTACCTTCTCACCGTTAATGTCATAGGTTTAATATTATTTTTTTCTTATACCATTTGAAATGAAAAGTTTCTTTTCTTATCATTGAGGACTATTAATTTGTCAATAGCTCACAAATCATGTACCTGGGCAGATCAAATTGGCTAATAGACGTACGTCCTTTGTCACCCAGAGGGCTGCACCGACAATAGGTGAAACAGTACGTTTGTCAAAGGTGCTAAAATTTATGCTGTCGTTTAAAATTTTAATTTATTTCTGTAACGAATTTGGATAAACAAGTAGTTTTCATCTTTCATACGATAAATCATGTTAGATTTCACGCTTATTGTGAAGTATTATTTCTTTATCCCCCAAGCCTGATGCTACAATGCGTAAGTGAACCTGATGCTTACTCTATTTCACGAAGCATGAGTGCCACTATTCGCTGTGAGGATGAAGACCAGCAGCGCTCCAGCGGATTTTTTCCAAGACCTGAACGTGTTGAGAGCCAACTGTTGTGCCGTGATACATACGGACTTGGTGACATAAATATTTATTTCAACTTATTGAGAGCTCGTGGCACTCTGCACTTTTAATGTATGAAAGTTAGTGCTATCAGTTATTCATAAAAAATTTAATGATTGGCTGACAGTAACTCTAGTAGGTATATGCCCATAAACTTTTTGTGTCATTTGCATCATCGCCCTTCATATTTGTTGGTGATACACAGCACTGTGGTAGGTTAAAAAATTTTTTATGGATAACTCATTACACAAACTCTTATATATTATAAGTGCAGAGTACCACGAGCTCTCAAGTAATTGCAATAAATATTTACGTCACCGAGTCTGTATGTATCCCAGCACAACAATCTGCTCACAACACGTTCAGGTCTTGGAAAAAATTCGCTGGAGCGCTGCTGGTATTCATCCTCACAGCGAATAAATTAAGCTTCACCCTATGCACAGGTTTATTTCTGGTGGATTTTCATGCGTATTAAATTATTGTTACCTTAAAAAGGATTATATAATTTGTAGCACTCCTTAGAATCCGTAGGGACTGTGGCATTGGAACTGCCAACGGATTCCCTCAGAGAGGTGACCGCCTGGGGTACTTGTTTTTCATCGATGTTCTTCATTTTAGTGTCTTCTTCGGGGCGTGCTAACCGGCGAAGGTCAGCCCTACCTTTTTTCTGAAATAATAATTTGAAAAGGATTGAAACCAAGGTAGCAACCCTCTCTGTTTCTAGAGAAGAGTGCTACTTGCTCGGGATGGCTGGAAATATATATCATCAGAATATATCTACACGTACGATTCTTCATCGCTATATACCTGTGCGTACGATTTTTCACTGGAACATATTCGCTTGTACGATTCTTTCTCGAAATATATTATCTGCAAGTACGATTCTTCGTTAAAATATATCTCCACGTACGATTCTTCGTCAAATTATATCTATGCGTACGATTTTTCACTGGAATACATCTGCGTGTACGATTCTTCATCGGAATATATCTGCACGTACGATTGTTTCGTCGCAATATACCGTTGCGTACGATTCTTTGTTGGAATGTATTTGCGCATATGATTTTTCTGCTCAGACATCCACTCTGTCTTCGAGGGCAGTTATACTGGAAATATCATCACCGATTTCCAGAAATCGACTTATTCGCGAGGCATACAAACTAGCGGGTGAAAATAACACTACAGTCTTTGATACCGGTGGCGAGGGTAAGCTATATCTACGTCCCTTGTGGCCCAAGCCGTTACATAATCTCCTATCAAAGGTAATAACCACTGCCAGAAACCTTAAGTATGCGCGTCCAATTGTCCGAGATTATCAAGGTTACATGCTCCAGACAAAAAATTCTTTACTTATCCACATACCCACCAAGTCCGCACTAGCTAATCTCTCTGCTTATACACCTACAACACCTCCACAATTAAATTGAACGCCCCATTCAGCCTCTTCAGCTAATTCATCAAACATAGTTATTGGTCACGTAAACATTAATATATTAAAAACAAATTCTTTCATCCTAGAAGATAAACTTCTTCACCAAAATTATACTGCCTTCGGTGTCTCTGAAAGTTTTTAAACCATCTGGATAACAGTACTGTGGTCTCTATTGGAGGTTACACAATTCATCGCAACGATAGCAAGGGTAAAGATGGTGGAGGTGTAGCCATATATGTCCATGCTGCTATGAAAGTTAAGATTTTATCTCACTTAGATCCCACCTTCGACAATACACCAGAATTTTAATACTCGAGCTCTAGCATGGTACACACAAATTACTATATGCCACGGTATAAAGACGTCCAAATTCAGCCTATCCGATATTATTCTTCAATAAGGTTGTAGAGCATTTAGCCACGTACCCTCTTTTAATAGTAGTTGGTGATTTCAATATCAATGTCTCTAGCAACTTCCACGCAACTAAGTATCTAATGAACACTATCAATTCATGCAACCTACATCTGATCCCATCTGAGCCTACTCACTATGCAATTCATCGTGGAAATTTGTTGCACACATGGTTGGATCTCACGTTTATCAATAACTCTTCATACGTTGTAAATTACTTCAAGTCAGATACTCCTTTTACGGCTGGTCATGACTGGCGGAGGCCCAACTAAATTACCCCACAATAAGAACCCCAACAACAATCGTCAAAATAGTTCGTTCTCTCTCCAGGGTTGATCAGACGGATATCATCAGCTCTTTTACAGAAAATTTTGACAAGTCATTCGACAACTCTTCATCGAATCTATCTGTTGACGACCACATAAACCTGCTTTCAGATGCCATTATAGATACTTTCGACTACCATGCTCCCAAACATCCAGTTACTTTCTCAAAGCGACGTAAGCCATGAGTGAGTAGCACTATTCGTGGTCAAATGAAAGCAAGAGATAGAGCCTACAGAAAATACCGTCAGTCCGGTCTCAATGTATTCTTATCTAAATTTTGTATTTTAAGATCCGTGGTGAAATCTGCTCTGGATTGCGCAAAGAACAGCTACTTCTCTCAACAGCTTCAAAACTCTCACAACTCCAAGGACCTTTGGCGAGTTTTACGCCGAATGCCTATTTCAGACAAGGCCAAACTATCGCTTGCCGAGCTTTTCTCAGTCAATGAACTTGATGATTTCTACATCTCTACTGTAACTAATGTGCTTCCTCTCTCCACTGCTGACTTGAAAAATGAACTCTCAATACCCCTGCCTGACGACGATAACAAAATCTTTTCACTTAAGCCTGTGACCGAATAAAGCATTCTGTTTTCGCTTACTAAAGCTACCTCTAAGTTAGCGGGGGTGGATGGTCTTAGTATTAAGATGATCAAGATGCTCGCTCCAAAAATTGTCCGTCCTCTTCAACATCTTATCAACCGCTCTATTCTTACGGCTCAATATCCTAAAGCTTGGAAGTCTGTCTTGGTAATACCTATAGCTAAATCGATATCACCGACGTCCGCCTCCGATGCTCGACCGATTGCCCAAACGTCTGAACTTTCCAAGGTCTGTGAACGATGTGTGGTCTCTCAGCTATCCATGTTTTTAGATAACACTGGCTTCCTCGATGCATACCAATCTGGTTTTCGAAAGGGACATAACACACGAACTGCACTCTTACATCTTATCGAAGAGTTTCGAGGCGGCATTGAAGTTGGAAGCTGCACGGTGGTTGTCTTTTTCGATTTTATGAGGGCCGTCGACCTTGTTTCTCATTCGAAGCTTTTATAAAACTTCATAAATTGGGTTGCGACGATTTGACTCTGACATGGTTTTTCTCTTACTTGATCGACCGATCACAGGCCAAAACGTCTGATTTATCTACTAGGTTTACTTGGAGGGGTGTTTCCTATGGTGTGCCCCAGGGGAGTATTCTTGGTTCACTGCTTTTTTCTATTTTTATCAACGATCTGCCTAAATCCTTAAAACACTGCAAGCACATACTTTTCGCTGACGACTTCTAGATCTCCATTACCAGTCCTTGCAGTCGTGTACAAGAGGCGATTGATCTGGCAAATGAAGACATCGTAGGCATAGAGTATTGGGCTGCAGATGCTGGAATGCGAATTTACGCTGGTAAGAGTAAGGCAATAGTTATAGGAAGCCATACTTTTGTCTCACGGCTAAATCTCCAAGAACTTCAACCAATCAAAGTCCCAGGCCAAAATATAGAATTTTCAACAGAAACTAAAAACTTAAGGGTTCGGCTGAGTCATTATCTCTCTTGGTCTGATCACATCGATCATGTTTCTGCCCAGGTTTTCCGCTCTCTTCGTACGTTGCAACACCACCGCCACGCACTCTCGACTCAGCTTCGTAAGCACCTTGTCGAAGCCTTAATATTTCCATTCTTCGATTACTCGGCGGCAGTCTATCACTCATTGGACGATACACGAGAACTAAAGCTCTACAGGCTTTTTAACGCCTGCATGCGTTTCATAGTCAACAATATCCCATATGTTGCACACGTCTCATCTTATCGTCTTAAGCTTCGTTGGCTTACTCCGAAGCGTAGGCGCGAGAACATGATAGCTTCGTTCGTCTATAATATAATTTCTCACCAAAACCCTGTGACGCTTTCTCGACACTTCAAACTTCGGTCTAAAATAGACTTGCGACACTCCACTGGGCGCAGTGAAAAAGCGTTTTATATTGCCAACCACCATACAACTGCTATGTACACTTTTTTTGCCGTCTTCTCAGCTTATCTAATCAATAGCCTTCCCAGATCTGATTTTTCTGGTGATGGTCTAACCCAATTCAAAACCGTCTGTATTTATAGAACTAATGCTAGAGATTCCCTCGATTGGGAAATGCGTCAAAACGTTCACGGTTCGAGCACATGACTTTTTCACAAATATCACTCTATTTGTACTCACTAAGTTAAAAATCATAGATTATGCATCAAAAACAGTATAAGTCATTTATCTTCGCAAATGCACATACTTTTATTACTTTTCGACTTATACCACAATGTATCACAGTTTGGATTTTTATTTGTATTATTGGTACTTTCTTTCTCTCCTACTTAAGCACGTGGATCAGAAAAACTATGAACTATGCGTTTAGCCTAATCTGTATTACCAAATTGAATATCAAGAATTATTACTATTATTACTGTGTATTTTTAGCAATATGCACACAGTCTATTGAAAGTTCCAGAGTAAAATAATTTTTTAGAAACTTAGAAAAGTATGAAGAGGATGGGATTTGAACATTTTGTCCTCTTTTATTATTGTTGTTATTGTTATTACTGTTGTTCGTTAGTATTGTTATTATTATTATTGTTATTATTGTTATTGTTGCTATTATTATTGTTGTTGTTGTTACTATTATTATTATTATTATTGTTATTATGATTATTATTTTTTATTATTTCTACTCTTACAGTTTAGTACAGATATCAGTTTATTAGCTATAATGACAGTAAAATATTACTACTGTTAGCAGCACTACTAGACCGCTCAACAAATGTAAATCAAGTAAAAATAATCGGAAAATGCTTAGATGATATAGATGTATAGAATTGATTATTTTTCGAGCTTTATTCTTCGTATAATTAATTTTATTTACTTGTACTGTTAAAAATCGCTAAATGTAAAGGGGAATGGAAAAGCGCGGATGATAAAATCCCTTTTTGTTGCTCTGATGCGCGCAAAAAAAACAAGCCAAGAGTGAGAAGGGAGAATGAAGGAGTGGCCTATCTAAAACACATCTAACCAGTTAGATCACTAGCTATATTCCCTCCCTTTAGATATGATAAATTTTCCTGCATCACCCAAGTTAGAGCGTCACCAAGGCCTGCGCTTTTAGGCTGCAGTCACATGGAGCGCAATAGAGCGTGCAGGATAGAATTGTCCCCATAAACGACTGTGTTAAGTCTATTGCGCCGTGCAATAGGGCTATCCTGCAGCACAATAGACTTAACACAGACGCTTATGATAAAAAGTAGTTTCAGGCCATATACTACAGCCAATAATTTCCAATCACCAGACACCTGACTTTTCAAATGATCACCCATCTCGGTTTGGTCTCTGTCTCTGGCTCACTGTAGAACCCAGACGGGAATAACAAAAATACGGAGTGATGGACTTTAATTACACTTTTTGATCTGCCGATCTATAAATTGGTCGTACGTTACGCATATAAATTTATATGTTTTTTGTACTTCTGC